GCCAGTTAGAGGTTATGAAAGGCCTGTTCTGTAGCTTGATGAATCTTCTTTCACAAGTGTAAATGCTGTGGGTGTGTGTCGTGTTTTATGATAAAACCAGGCCTCCCAGTGTAACCAGTGCTTCTACATGCAGGTATGTCCTGATCAGCCCTCCGTCCAAGTGGTGCGATCAGCTCAGACTCAAGTTTCTAGAAGGTTTCTACGCTTTTCTGGAGCTGCTCAAGTGCATGCAGGTAACATGGAGACAATGTGAGGTTTACCTGTACAGGTGCAGCCCGAACATCTCTGAGCCTGTCTGTCTGTGAACCCACCTCCCTGCAGGGCATGGACCCAGTGGTGAGGCAGGTGGGGCAGCATATTGAGATGGAGCCTGAGTGGGAGGCGGCGTTCACGCTGCAGATGAAGCTGACCAACATCATCACGATGATCCAGGAGTGGTGCTCCACTGATGTGAGACAACACACTGAACACGCTACATGTAACATTACAAATGTCACCTTTTATGTTTCTACAGTTTATTTTTTGTTTTCTGGATCAATAATCTGATCAGTTTTAAATAAACTGATTGATTGAGTGAGCCATCCAAGCCTTTTCTTTGCTCCTTTGTGTGTGTGTGTCAGGAGCGTGTGCTGATCGAGGCCTACAAGAAGTGTCTGAGCGCTCTCAGTCACTGTCATAACAGCCTTCCAGATGGTGAGCAGCCAATCAGCTTGAGCCTGGCAGGCCACAGTGTGGAAACGTTCAGGTATCAGGTGTCTCAGGAAAAAGTCTCCATACACCTGCCGGTGTGCAGGCTGCTGGCAGGTAAACACACACACATTTTAAAAGTCACACCATCTGTCTCCACGTCCTGTTTGAAGTTGTATCGATCACCTCCTCAGGTCTGCACATCCTCCTCAGCAGAACAGAGGTGGCGTCTCATTTCCCTGAGCAGCTCCCATTGGTCAGTAACTGATCTGATTATTATTGATCCCTGATTGGAAACGCCATTTTCAAACCAGTTTGATTCATTGATTGTTGATGCCACGTGTCCCTCAGGGTGAACTAAGCCCCCCCCTTCTGATCGAACTCCCCCTCCGTTGCCTGGTGCTCTGTGCCCAGGTGCATGCTGGGATGTGGAGGAGGAACGGATTCTCACTGATTAACCAGGTGAGTTCTAACCTGTTTATCTATGCAGAAGGGATCAATGCTGATTAGCTAAGTTTGTGCTGTTTGTTGTTTCAGATTTATTATTACCACAATGTAAAGTGTCGAGTCGAGATGTTCGACAAAGACATCATCATGCTACAGGTACAACTCGCCTCTACTGACGCTCCACTTATTCTACCAGTGCTGATTCAGCAGCACTAACGCCTCTGTGAAGCGTTGGTGCTCTGCTCACGCTTGCTGCTGTTTTTGGTTGGGTGCAGGCAGGGGCGTCCATGATGGATCCAAACCACTTCCTGATGATCGTTCTGAGTCGATTTGAAGTGTTTCACGTTTTCAGCACTGCTGACATCAGGAAAAGATACAGAGAGGCCAACAAGGTCAGTCCTCTTCTGTTGTCAAGACGCCGTGATGTTACTGCTAAGCTTATCGGCCCCACCCTCGACACAGATACATTTCCAAAGATTGTTATGTTAAAGCTCCTGCAGCATCAGGTGATGCAAAGCTGCAGCAGATTAAACTCAGACACCTGCACGAACAGACAAGAAGTCAGATTTCGCAGCAGGTCGCTTTGACTTGTCTGTTTATTTGCACGTAACGAGAAATTAGAATCACGTCTGCAGGTCAGACATTCACATTACGCTGTGTTTGACAAGTCCTCAAAAATCCATTTGCAATGTTGAGTCATTCGAGTTTAGATGGCGAAAATGGACTCTGCAGGTTAAACACTACAGGTGTATGACTGACTCCTCCCACTCTGTCCTGTGTTTCAGGACCTGGTCCAGCAGAACACTCTCATCGAAGAGATGCTTCATCTCATCATTATGGTGGTCGGTGAGTTTGTTTCCTCTGAAAATGAGTCAGAGAGGTCGCCTTGTCCAGGTGCAACGTTAGCACAGCCTCTGCATGTGTGTTACAGGTGAGCGGTACGTGGCGGGCGTTGGCCAGGTGGAGCCCTACGATGAGGTCAGAAGAGAAATCATCCACCTGCTGTCCATCAGACCGATGGCTCACAGCGAGCTTGCCAAGGCTCTACCTGAGAATGTGAGACCCTAACCTGTCAATGTTTTTTAGTTATGCTGTTACATATTTGTCGAAGTATTTGTGAGTTCTGCTTTAAAAAGTTTATTAACCCTCCGGGCTCGACGGACGCGCCGGCACATCCAAATCACACGACCAATTTAAGATGACTTTGCAACAAGATGCAGCCAACCCGAGTCTCCGAGTTTAAAGTACGGACGAACTATATACGAGTTTTCAAGTTGTGTTGATAGGACACGAAAAACCAGAGTCATGATCAAAAATATACCTGATGTTTGGTCACAAGATAAAAGAAAGAAAAAGCACCGCTTTCCTATTGGTGGAAAAATGTACCATGTCAACCAATCACAAAAGGATATGGCAACATGTGACAATTGGTTGTTTAGGAAGGAGGAGAGGTTTTAGGAGTGACAGCGGCGAGAGAGAGTGTTTAGACACAAGAGATTTGTGACATTCAGTGTGTTTGAAGTGTGTAGTTGGTGTGTACTTTATGTAGTTAGTTTGCAGTTTTATGCAGTTACCCTGTAGTTTTGTGGAGTTAGTGTGTAATTAAGGTGTAGTTTTATGTACTTTTGTGTAGTTGGTGTGCAGTTTTGTGTAGTCTTTTGTGTATCTATTGGGTAGTTTTGTGTAGTTTGTGGCTAGTTAGTGTGTACTTTTGTGTAGTTGGTGTGCAGTTTT